GATGAGAGTGGTAGTGATGATGGTGATGGTGATGAGGGTGGTGGTGGTGATGCTGGTGATGGTGATGAGGGTGGTGGGTAATGATGGTGATGGTGGTGAGGGTGGTGATGGTGATGCTGGTGATGGTGATGAGGGTGGTGCTGATGATGTTGATGGTGATGAGTGTGGTGATGCTGGTGATGGTGATGAGGGTGGTGGTGGTGGTGAGTGTGGTGATGCTGGTGATGGTGATGAGGGTGGTGGTGGTGGTGATGAGAGTGGTAGTGATGATGGTGATGGTGATGAGGGTGGTGGTGGTGATGCTGGTGATGGTGATGAGGGTGGTGGGTAATGATGGTGATGGTGATGAGGGTGGTGATGGTGATGCTGGTGATGGTGATGAGGGTGGTGCTGATGATGTTGATGGTGATGAGTGTGGTGATGCTGGTGATGGTGATGAGGGTGGTGGGTAATGATGGTGATGTTGATGAGAGTGGTGGTGGTGATGACGGTGATGGTGATGAGGGTGGTGCTGATGGTGTTGATGGTGATGAGTGTGGTGATGCTGGTGATGGTGATGAGGGTGGTGGTGGTGGTGATGGTGATGAGGGTGATGATGATGCTGATGAATGATGATAATGAGAGCCCCCAATTCAGAATGGCTGTGAATACTGGACTGAAAAACTGTGACCCTGAGCATCTTAGTGTCTGTCTCGCTTACAACACCCATAAAACGTCGTTAATATCCATCCCTACCTCATAGAGTTGTCAAAAGGATTAAATTAAAACCCTTGTAAGGTGCTTGACACATAAATGCTTAATAAACACTAGCTATCATTTTTATGGTCTTATTTATTTTGTTGCTCTGTTCCCCTCATTTTCAGAATCATTTCTGTTTCTCTTGGCGCAGCTATCATTAGTCTCATTATTAGTGTTTATTCAGAATTAGGATGACCAATCACCCAGTCCCCCGGGGCTTGTTGTCTTCTCTGTCTGTCCTGCCTCCTACATCTGAAGTTGTCCAGGGCTCTGCCAGGGGATGAGCCTTCTGTGTCCCTGGATCTTTGAAATGGGGAAGTGAGAAGGAGGACCAAGGCCAGGTCGTGGCCATCTGGAAGTGATGCCCACAAAGTTGGGTGTGTACCAGCCATCAGCGCCGACGTCCGTGAGCTTACCTCTGTGCTTGGCGAGGGGGCTGCCTGCGTTCCCACATGTTGCTGGTGATTCTGCTGAGCAGCAAGCTGGGCACCCACAGCGTGTTGGCTCCGTGCGGGGTCCTGAGGGTGACTGTAGAAATTCTGTACAGATGTAGGTCTTGTAGACCGGGGCCATCAGCCTGTCCCCCCTGAGATCATGCCTTTCTCACTTCCCCTACGTTGTCTTCCAGAGGTGTGGATGGCAAGTCACACAAACCGCTGCCCCTTGGCGTGGAGAATGACCGAGTCTTCAGTGACCTGTGGGGGAAGGACCACGTGCCCGTCATCCTCAACAACCCGTATTCAGAGAAGGAGCAGGTAAGCGGGTGGTGCCAGCTTGGCTCCCACACTGCACGGCTCCCTAAACCTTCCCGGGCATGAAGAGGAGGGGAGGGGATGGCAAATGTCAAACCATGTTGGGATGGGAATGATCCACCACGCCTAGAGAGCTCAGGGGCTCTGAGGCCAGGAGCATGCCTCCTAGGAGATGGGTTTTGGCTTTGTTTTGCTTTGTTCATGATCTTGCCATTTTTTGAAATTCAATTCTGTTTTCACCAACAGAGGCACTCCCATGCCATTCACATCCCAAATTTAGAAAGTAAAGATAAACGGTAAAAAGTTTTCCTCTCTCCCCTAATTCCATCCACATTCCAGCAATTCCAGCAATATTTATCATCTCTGTGGTTCTTTCCACAATACTTTATGCATAGACTCTCTCTCTCTCTCTCACACACACACACACACACACACACACACACACACACTGTTTTCATGCAAATGAGAACACATTATACATATTTCTCTGCACCTCGCTTTTCACTTATCAACATATTCTGGTGATTACCCCCAATTTGCAGGGGAGGGGAGGCCTGGCTCTTTTCACAGCTGTATAATATTCCATTGCATGGCTCTGCCATACCTACTGAGCCAGTCCTCCATAATGGACACTCAGGTCCTTGCCGGTATTCTGCCATGACATTGCCTAAATGCCCCGCATGGCGCATGGGCAATCTTTTCAACAGCATAAATTCCTAGACGTGATATTGCTGGCTCAACGATCATATACATTTGTGATTGGGGCAGAAATGGAGAAATGGCTCATCGTAAACATTGTCCCAATCCTACCAGCTAAGCAGGAGAGCAATGGTGTCCCCACAGCCTCACCAGTCTAACGTATTATCAAACTTTTCGGTCTTTGCCAGTTTGCTGAGGTGTGTTTTGACAGCTGAGTTGATGTTGTTTCTGAGCATAGAGAGATTTGGCTAGAGATAGGCAGTGCCTCATTCTCACCGGATTGGGCAGCTCACAGACCAGGCCAGTGCAACCCTGTTAAAGCAGACGAATTTGCTACCTATCCTCTGCACTGCAATGATTTATGGGAGGAATGGTGTGTGGGAGGTCAGAACAGGGAGATGGCCCAAGTCACCTTATTCTCATCCACCCTGGATGGGACGGGGCAGGGGGCCAGGTTCTGTCTTCTGATGTATCTGGATGGATGGCACCGTTCACTACCAGCTCACCTGAGCAATGACCCAAAGCCTCTCTACATAGCCTCCCAAGGGGAGGAGGGAACATTCCAGAGCCTCAGCGGGGATTGCTTTCCTTAAGGGCTGATAGCTAGCCAGGAAGATAAGGATGTCAGGGATTCTGCGGTAGGTCAGAGCTATGCTCCCCCTGGCTAGTGACTCACCCTCTTGCAGTGACATCTAGGAATGCTTGGAGGAGGAACACCAATAGAGACATCTATTATGCTGTCCTCAAAACTCAGGGCCACACCGTGAGCTATGAGGGGGCTATTTTCCATTCATGATTAATCGAGCAAATAAAGTTAACATTCTTCTTTGTATTTCCTTTCTTAACTGAAAAGAAAGGGGTATTGCCATAATTCAAATCCTTACAAGACAGAAGAAGAACAGAAAGAGACAGCCTCAGGCTAGACCCAGGCTCTGGACATGATTTGTTAGGTCTGCACTATATTGCCTTAAAGGATAATTTGTATTTGTACTTTGAATTTACTGCCAGTGTTTTAAAATTTTATATAAGTGTTGTATTCACAGCTTCTCTTAAAAAAGGTGGACACTCTGACCACCTCGAGCCTATATTCTTATGAGACAATAATCTGCATGGACAGAGCATGGGCTTTCCAGTTTGCCACAATCCCCACCACTCCCTATTGTACCTCTCCCCTTAAGACCATTGTCTGCTGTTACTTTTTGTAACGTTAGTACTATTGGTTTTCTTAGCATGAAAGGGAAATATTTTTATATCCATGACTTTATTATAAGTGGCAGGTAAAAATAAACCAGGAGGTTTGTGTGTTTCAGGAAACACGAGCAAGATGTCTTGTTTTACAGAAATGAAGAATATTCTTATGTGTTTAATATGCAGCCGAGTGTTTCATCTTGAAATTAGCTAGCCTGCTTTGCTAATTTACCTTATCTACGTACCTATCCCTCCAGGTGTCGGAGTTTGTAACTGCTGGTTTGCATTAACTCCTGAGACCTGACCTACAGAGACAAAGCAGAGGATGCTTTGACCCCACGAGAAAGACCCTTAAAGTCACTGCTGAATTCTAAGCAACGGCAGGATGATGCCATTTCCTTTTATGCTGCTTCCCTCGACTTGACAGTGATAGCTTAGAAACCATAACCTTGAACTTCAGGCCCGAGGAGTGGGGCTCTCAATATTGGGAACGGGGCAGAAGTGATTAATAAGACCACTGGCCCTCTTTTCAGAGCTTCATGATGCAATGATCAGTGTCTTAGGTCAGGCAGGCTGCTCTAATTCCAGAATTCCATGAACTGGGTGGCTTACAAAAAACACATTTATTTCTCACAGTTCTAGAGGCTGGGAAGTCCAAGGTCAAGGCAACAGCAGTTCAGGGTCTGCTGAGAGCCCACTTCCTGGTTCATGGCAGAGGTCTTCTCTCGCTGTGTCCTCACAGGGCAGAAGAAGCATCTCTCTGGGTCTCTTTTAGAAGGTGATCTAATCCCTTCCCCAAGCCCCACCCACGAATACCCCCACCTTGGGGATTAGGTTTCAACATATGCATTTGGGAGTCAGAGGGACTTAAACATTTTGGCCATAGCCATCAGGAAGAGGTGCTGAGAACTTGCCTTAGAGCTCCTCAAAAATGGTCGTTCCATTTGTCTGGAGAAGGAGAGACGGTGCTGGGCAAGGTAGGAACAATCACATCTTCCTAAGGATAAGACAGTTTTAGAATTGGGAGCTCCTGGATTCATGACATGCAGATCAGCTGTGCCAGGAGGTACATTCTCTCCTTTATCACCGGCAAATCCTCAGTGTCGTTTTGACCCCAAAACCACCGGCTATCAAGATCACCCTGACTCGGTTGTCTGTGCCTCAGTTTTCCAAATGCGTCTCAGAGATAGAGCTGGAAGAGGGTAGAGATCTAAGTGGCTGGTTATATTTGAGTCCCAGCCCCAGCGCTATGGAAGCAGCCCTGTTACTTCCTGCTAGACATCTCCATAGCCACAGTGCTGAGAAATGTTTCCCAGGCTGAGCAAATTAATAAAAAACGTAATGTTCTTTTTTCCACCCTAAAAGACTGGCGTATATGCCTAGCTTCTTCTCTACCTGCTCAAAGCCACTTTACCTGGAGCTCCCGGGACCGGCTTCCTTCCTCCCAGTTGTAACCCACATTCGCTGCTTTTTTAGGCATCTGCTGGGGGGTTAGCATTGTTAATAATACAAAGAGAGACCCAGCTACTACCTGCCTTCCTGAGTCAGGAAGAGACGGGCAGGTGAAAAAAACAGCTGGTCTGCGTTTTCCCCAAGGACGGGGCCAAAGGGGACAGAGTCCAGGGGAAGCTGGGTGGGTACAGGCTAGACAAGAGAAAGAACTTCCTGATTCAGAAGACTGTTAGCTCCCTGAAGGAATAGTGAGGTCTGCCCCTTCCTTCTTGATTCTCTCCTCTATCCGGAGTCAAGGAAAATCAGCCACAGAAGCACCTTCTCTGCAGGCGGTCTCTGGAGGCTGAGATGTTCATCTCTATCTAGTGGTGATTTTTCTTGCTAACGGTTTCCGCAGTCGGTACAGCCAGTGAGACTCAAGTCCCTCGTCACCAGAACACAGTGTGTGAATGACTGTAATGCACGTCTTCTCCTTTTTTTTTTCTTTTCTTTTTTCCTTTATTTTAAGATAGATAGCAGGAGCAGGAGCAGGGAGGAGAGGGAGAAGCAGCTCCCCGCTGAGCAGGTAGCCTGACATGGGACCCGATTCCAGGACCCTAGGATCATGACCTGAGCTGAAGGCAGATGCTTAACCGACCCGTGTAACACTCGTCTTTAACATCCCTTTACAAACTCTCTCTGGCCTGGGCTGGTAGATAGAATAAATCAGCTCCCCCATCACCAAACCTTTACCTGACCCCTGCCACATGTGTAGCCCTGGGGTAGAAACAAAGATGACTAAACCTCGCCCTCCCTCCCATAAGACCTTCACAGATGAATGTGGGGAGACAGACACCAGTACAGTGCATTTAATCCTAAAATACAAAGGGACACAAAACACTGTGGGAACATAAATACCTCAGCAGGTATTAGGAAATGTTTAGCTGAAGAGGTAACATTTGAACTGGGTTTGGAAGGTCATATAGGAATTTGCCAAGTAGAAAGTAGGAAAAGGTATTATAGTAAAAGGAACCACTGTGGCAGATACAGGATACACTGCTTTTTTTTTTCTTGCTAAGGATCATTGTTGGACCTCTGAGGTCATCTTTAGTGCTGATACCGCCTGGGACACATATGGACTTTTTTTTTTTAAGATTTTATTTATTTATTCGACAGAGAGAGATCACAAGTAGGCAGAGAGGCAGGCAGAGAGAGAGAGGAGGAAGCAGGCTCCCTACCAAGGAAAGAGCCCGATGCGGGGCTCAATCCCAGGACCCTGGCATCATGACCTGAGCCGAAGGCAGAGGCTTTAACCCTCTGGGCCACCCAGGCGCCCCACATATGGACTTTTGACACCATTCTTAAGGTGCTTGACATAATAATCCTCTTAAGTGAAAATGCTACCCTATGTAAATGACTTGAGAAACTGCCATTGGTCCATTCTCCCTGCAAAACCTCAGCATTTGAATCAAGCCCTTCTCTGCTTCCCTTCTTCTTTTCTTTTTTTTTTTTTTTAAAGATTTATTTATTTACGGGCGCTTGGGTGGCTTAGTCGGTTAAGCATCTGCCTTCGGCTCAGGTCATGATCCCCGTGTCCTGGGATCGAGTGAGTTGGGCTCCCTGCTCAGTGGGGAATCTGCTTCTCCCTCTCCCTCTAACCTCTCTTCCCCTCCCACCTTGTGCTC